AAAGAAAGTATTCCAATTCTATTACAATTTCTATTATAATAATTTTTAATAATTAATTTTATCAATTATTCTAGCAAATAAAAAGCATGACCAAATTATATTTTAAAATGATATATTTTGACGACGTATACTTTTTTATATGTATAACGCATTGAATTGAAAGGATGTAAGATAACTTTATTATAAGTTCTTATTTTATACTTGAACTAAATTATTTCTAGAAATATGAATATATTTAAAGTTATAATTTCTAGAAATAACAAAAATTGAAAGACATGTATGAATCAACTTGTCATTGCACAACCTGCAATGGCTACTGCACTCTTAAGGAGTGCCACTATATAAGTAAACTCTGAAACCAATATATGTGCGTAGGTAAGTACTTTATTCAGCGGTTCTCGAGCATTATGCTTAAATAAAAAAAAAGAATCTAAATCGCAAACCTTCGCCACGATTAATACGCTCGATACTTGATAAGAATCGAAAGAAAGGTCTAAATGTTTTTTCCTTCAAAAGAAAAGATTATTATACTTCGAAAGAAATCGAGTGAACGTGGGAATCGATATTGTACATGTACGTTTCTTGCTAATTGTGAACCGCTAGATTAAGCAATTGCACTTTCAACTAACAACCGCGGAAAAATACTAAATAAAAATTATTAAATATATTTATAAAATTAATATTTTGGAAATGGTTGAAAAAATAAAAATATTAGTTTGAATATAATAATTAATATTATATAAGAATTATATTAATACTTTATAATTAATTTTTATAAGATTTCATTATATTTTATATTTTTAATAAAATTTTTTAATTTGTTAAATTTGTTGTTGTAATTTAAAAAATTAATTTCAGTATAATGTATAATATTATTTTATAATATAAAGAAACATAAAAAATCCTAGAAATATATTTCCTTTTTTTATTTTGAATACATATAATTTAATTGAATTTTTCATAATGTTTAAATTCTTTTTTCATATTTCTTCGTCTTACAAACCTTTTCAATAATTTTTTTAGAAAGTTGTGACTGCATGTTTTAAAAACTATTGAAATCACAATTGATTAAAATTTGCACCAAAATATACACTATTTCAGAGTTTTTTTTGAATCGCCATTTATTATTAAAAATTATTAAAAATTATTTCCAATAAATTACATATTTTAAAAAAAAAATGTTTTTACTTGTTAGTTAATAAAATATTTAATTAATATATGCACGAAAATATTTATGTATGTGATACACTTATAAAAAAAACTTCAATAAAATTTGAGAAACATCTAACAAAACTTTCACGGCGGTCCTTCAGAGAATAGAACATCAGTATCCAACTCATCTTTATATACAACTTATATAGGGTGACTATAAAAACTTTTAAAGTATTTAATGTAATATAAATATTTGTAATATAAGTATTTTATGTAAATATATATAAATATACATAGATATGATATATAGTATACATTTAATATTTAGTAAATAATCAATACATATTATAAAATAATATTTATTTATTTAAAATTTACTTTTTTTTAAATTTAAATTTGTTTTTCACTTAATGATATAACAATAATATTACTTCAATTTAATATATATAGAATATACATACATAAATTCACATTATTTTTATTTCTAATAAATAACAATATAAATATAAATAATTTGAATAATTTTAAGATAGAATAAATAAAATAAAATTAAAAATTGATATAATTTTTTTTTGAATATGATAATATTTTAACAAATTGAGAATTATAGATATTATAAAATTAATAAAAAATTATTGTTATTATATATATGATTAAATTTCAAGTATTTATTTCAAACACCCAATATATACGAGAACATTCACTTACAATTCTTGGATCTCTCTTAATACAACGAGGGATGCGCAACGTGCAACCGTGGGAACGTCATCACCTGTTGAAACTAATATACCGTAACTTTTAATTTCATAACAATAAAATATTTATACTTTATAATTAATTAAAATTTAATAAATTTAGTTATTTTGCATTGATTCAGTGAGAACATTTTTAGTATTTTTATTAAAATACTTATACGAAAAAAATAATACGTAATGTATATAAAACATAATGTAATTTTTCAAGAAATACATATTCTTTTTTTAAAAATAAATTTTTTATGATAAAAAAATGTGAATGAGAATCACTGTGGATCAACTTAATTACATATCATCATTACATTCTTTTCCCCCTTTTAAAAAAAATATTTAATAAAGATAAATTTAAGAATCTAATTATCTTTTCGCAATGCATATTTATTTTATTTTGTTTGATTGTATACCATTAATTTCGTGATTTAATATTTCTCAATTTACATTTCAAAACTGCTAGCAAAAACGACGTTAATTATCATAATATCAGATGAGAAAATTAGATACCATAATATTCATTCATCGCAGATTTCAAATTGATATATTTTTTATACATTTTAAAATTAAATAACATTTCACAAAATTATTTATTTACATTGAATAATTTTTTTATTATTTTTAATTAATTAAATAACTCTTATTAATTTTACACAAATATGTAATAAAAATTAAAGAGAAAATATAAATATAATAATATAATATATATATTATTTATTATAGCATTTAAATTGGTTATAATTTGATTAAAAAATATAAATTTACTTTTTAATTAAAAAATATAATCTTTCTATTTTAAGTCCTAAATTTAATATTAATAATATATTAATACATAGTACTACATATTATATGTACATACAATATATTACAATATTTGCTATAAAAAGATATTTAAGATATCAATATTTAAGAGAATAAATTAAAAAAACAATGAAAGAATATGGAAAAAATTTATTTATTCATTTTCTTTTGATAATTCTTCTACTTTTTTTAATGCAGCTTCAATATCTTCTTGTGTTACAGTAAGATTTAAACCATATTCTTTTTCAACTTTTAAAATATATTTTAGTTTTTCAGCCTTTTCAGCATAAAATACTTTTTGTTGTTCTTTTAATTCTTTTTTAAATGCATCCAATTTTTTTTGAATAATAGCATCACAATAATTTTGTGTCAGCTTTCTTAATGCGTTTTTTCTCGTCACTTTATTAGGATCTCTATAATCAATTAAAAATTAAATTATACATATAATAAAATCATATCAAAATATAAAATATAAAAGTATAATTTTTTTAAATTTTATTAATTTTAAAAGTGTTATATATATGTTTATAAATATAATTATTATTAAATCATATTTTCTTTCTTATATATTGCATTAATATCTTTATAGATTTTAAAAAATTAAATTTAAAAAATATATATATATATAAATACAATGAACTTTAAAAGAATATTATAATATATATATATATAATATATATATATATTAATATTCCAGAAATAAAAAAAAGATTTTATATAAAAAAGATATTCAGAAAAGAAACATTTATATAATAAAGAAATAAAAAAAAAACATACTCTGGTTGGGCAATATATGTGAGATTCAAACGTTCAAGAAGCCATTCAAAGCGTTTATAATCCCACTTTCGCATTAATTTAAGATGCCTATTTCTTTTATCAATTAATTCTTTTAAAAATATTTTTATTTTTTTATTTCTTGGGTAGTCTTTTATATATTTTTGAAGATATTGTATTTCAGCAGTCATTGCAGCAACTGAAACAATTTATTTAAATTATACAGTTATTATTATAAAAATATATTCCTAAATATAAATCATTTATTAAAAGAAAAAAAAAAGTTATAATTTTTTATATGATAAAATATTTACAATAGTGATATCAAATTTTATCAAGTTTTTTATTTTTTTTTTTATAAAACTAAAATGCATATAATCAAATTATATTTACTTCTGACTTCTGGAGAACTTCGATCACAAATATGTCTTTTTACAAGTTCTATTGTTTTCTCTCTTGATAAATTTCTAGCTTCTTTGCGTCGTTGAAATTCCAAAGTAAAGAATTTCTTTACAAGATCACTTGCACTGTATATGATTAATTAAATATAATTAAATATAATTAATTATTTAAAATTCTTTAAAGATATTTCATATAAAATATTTCAAAATTGCTTTTTAATTTTCAGTAAGCTGTTGTATTGTATAACATTATTAATACACAATAAGTTTATATTTATTACTTACTCTTCCAATTCTTTTGAATTTTCATAATAAAGTTTAATATCAGTTGATTTTATAGGTATATTTAATCCTAAATCACCACTTTTCCGAGGATCTATAGATGGAATTTTAACTGGCCGTACCCATTTAATTTTATAATCATCAATAGTTGCCATTCCTCGGTATAAATAACCTCCAAACTTATTCATTCTTATGGTTATTACTTTACAAGAATTTATTACTGAATTCATGTTAATTTATAAATTTAAATATTAGAATTATTAAAATTAAAGTAAAAAAAATTTAATTAACATACAATTTCTTATTGTTTAAATATTACAATTATAACATTTTGTGTATTATCACATACATAATATGTTTAACATCTATATTTAAGAAACTCTGTGTTTTATTTTCTAAAATACTGTTAAATAGTAAGAAAAGGACAGCGCCATCTCTAGATTGTTAAATAAGACAAATGTAGATAAAAGGAGAAAATAATGAAAGAAGGATAGAGATAGAATAAAAATTATGGAACCAGCACCATCTTCAGTGTGCCACAAATGAAACTCAAAAAGAAAGGATAAAAGATAGTAAAAGAAAGATAGAGAGTAAAGAATTGATTGATTATGCCATCTCTTAAATAGATATTTTTTAAAGATAAAATAAAAATTAATAAAGAGATATATTTTTGATATTCAAGAGATGGTACTGTTAGTCAATTCTTATTCTTTTTCTATCCTTCTCCTACTATTTTCTATTCTTTCTTTCTAAGTTTTATTTCTACGACACACTGAAGATGGCGCTGATTTTATAATTTTTACTGTATTTCTGTCCTTCTCTTATAATTTTCTTTTCTATATTTATCTATATTTATTTTATCTAAGACTCTTTAGAGAAAGAGAGATAGATTCTATTCTTTACAATCCTATTCTTTCAATAAAAAATATAATTACTATTGATTTATAGTTATAATATAGATTATAAATCTATATTTTACATATAGATATATTTTACAATTTCTGAAAGTGACTTTAAAATAAAACAATTATAATATAAATATGTCAAAATTTTATAAATTTTTTAAGAAAGGAAGATGCTCCGTGATTGGAATGGTACACGTTGGTGCTTTGCCTGGTATATATAATAAATCAGATTTAAAAATATATATTTAAAATATAAAAATGGAAAAAATATATTGCAATAAATAAAATTAACATAATGATTTTATCATTATTGCTTTTAAAGTGTTAATATAATGATTTATGCTATTTTTGATAAAAATAAAATATTACAACAAATAATATTTATTTTATAACTATATTTTTTTTAATAATCAATAATATATTTATAATTTAAAAAATACCTTTTTAATAATAAATTATTGGATTTAATAATTATTTTTTTATTTTATAAAAGTGATATTAAAATAATATTTTTAGGCACACCTTCATATAATGGTAATATTAATCAAATTATAAATAATAAAGGATACAATAAAGGAAACAATAATCTATAGAGATTGTAATATTGTAAGCTTATTTAAAAATTCATATTTTATTAATTTTGTAGAATTTATAAATTAAATATTTAAATTTAAAGGATGGTATTTTAGTGGAAAATATGCATGACAATCCATATGTGAGATCTGAACATTTAACACCTGAAACAACAGCAATGATGACTAGAATCTGCATAGAAATTAAGCAAGTATTACCTGAAAGTATACCTTGTGGTATACAGGTATAAATCAAAAAATTTATTAAATTACATATATAATGCACGAGAATCTGATATTTACAATTTACTAAAAACAACAATCAATAGATTTTAGCAGGATGTAATAAAGAAGCAATAGCTGTAGCAAAGGCAACTAATTTTCAATTTATCAGAGCGGAAGGATTTGTCTTTTCTCATATTGCAGATGAGGGATTTACAGATGCATGTGCTGGTTCTTTATTGAGATACAGAAAACAAATTGATGCTAATGATATTCTTATTTTTGCTGATATTAAAAAAAAGCATAGGTAATTTGTTCAATAATTCAAAAAAGAAATTTATTGGTTAACATTTATTATTAGCTTAACATAAAAAAATATCAATGACATTTTAATTTCACAGTTCACATACAATCACTTCTGATGTAAATTTATTAGAAACAGCAAAAGCAGCAAAATTTTTCTTAGCTGATGGAATAATCTTGACAGGAGATGCTACAGGTTATCCAGCAAATGTAACAGAACTTACAGGTATTTTTTATATTAAATTACAATTTTTATATATTTTTTACAAAAAATTTACATTTTATATACAGAAATTAAAAAAAATGTTGATATACCTGTTCTTATTGGTTCTGGTATTACAAAAAAAAATATAAAAAATTATTTGTCTTCTAATGCAGTAATTGTTGGATCACATTTTAAGATTAATGGAACATAGCAAAATAAGATAAATAAAAAGAAAGTAAATAATTTTATAAAAAAATTAACAATTCTTCAAAATGAAAAATATTGTTTATAATAGATATTTATTTTTTATTTTTATTATATTTTATTTTGATTATTTTTTACTGATATATTTATTATCGATTAATTATTATTTTTCATACTTATAAATAATTAATTTTTTTATCCTTTTCTAATAAATTTATTTGTAAAAAGTTTGTTGTATGATAATTAATTATAATAATATATAATATAATTATAATAATATAATTGATATAATATGATATGATAAATAATAATTAGAAATTCGAACGAAATAATAAAAAAAATTAATTATATAATAAAGCGGATATACTCATAACTGGTTTGTAGAATTCATTTTACACGATATATAAACCTTTAATAAAAGAATATAATATAAGGCTTGAAATTAAATTTGTTATTATAAAGTTATAAATTATATTACTCGAAACTTTTCGTATAAAAATTAATTCAATTTGAAATAAAATAACTTGAACAAATTGAAAAAAAGATATATTTAAATAATAATTATATATATATTATACATATTAATAATAGTTAATTATTCAGAATAATAAATTTATTTAAAACAAAAACAATGAGACGATTCTATCTTTATCACACTATTATCATAGCATTATCTATATTACTATATTACTATATTATTTATCTATATTGGTTCTGTCTATCTTTCTTTATCTAATGCAAAAAATTAAATTACTTAAATTATTTATAATTTAATAAATAAATTCCAACCAATATTTTTATATATCAATTTTTTGATTGATTTTTACAATCAATCTTTGAATATGTCTTATGAATATTCTATATTTATATATTTATATATATATATTTATTATCATATTATATAAATAAATTGGCTCTGGTATGATTTTGCTTATGTTTTTATATCTTCCTTTACGAATTAGTGAGATTATTTTAACATCATGCAAATTCGTAGCAAATATTAAATAGTAATTTATATATGTAACTTGGTGCCAAATTCTTTGTATTAGTCATACTATAAAGAATATGGCAAAGGAAAATTCAATTTTCATGTTTCATATTTAATATTGATAAATATCCTGTTTATATATAAACATGTACAAATATAAATAAATGATTTATTTACATGAAATAATGAAATAATAAAATAATATAATTTATACATGTAATTTAAGATTTAGAATATTTTTAATGATTTCCATTATTTTTATATTGCCAATGAAAGTTTGCTTCATAATTTGATTTCAAATTTTTTTTTATTTTACAAAATTTTATACTTATTAAATTTTATGTATAAATATTTGACCATTAGTAATTTTTCCATGGAATATTCAAATAAGTTCCCCTATTATATTTTTATCGTAACTTTATTTTCGTGCTTCCCTGCTTCTTAATTATCTCTTTCTCTCTCTCTCTCTCTATATATATATATATATATATATCTTGTAACACAACATTAAAAATCCATTTCCTTTTCTTTTAAGATATTCTTATATTCAAATTACAAACACATTAAATATAAATATATTTTGAAAATCAAATTATTTAAAACTTATATTTTTAAAATAAAAAATAAATTATTTCATTAATAATTTTTTTCATTGATTTATTTTTTGATTGCGTAAATTTTTTCCAATTAAGTTATTAATAATTTTTATTATCACTTCTCAAATTATTGAGAATTATTGAAATCAAATTATTGATAATTTATTTCAAATTTCGAAATTAAATTATATTTAAATAAATAAAAAAATATATATTTCAAATTCCAAAAATCAAATTAGCGATCACAATTTTTCGAGGATTAAAAAATAAGTCACTCGATCACTAGATTTCAGCATTGACTTATTTTTTGAGAGGTATAAAGATTTCCGGAAATCAATGCCAAAAGTGGAGTATGCAATACTGGGTCGTAGAAAACAAAAAGTTTCTCGTGTATGCTTGGTTACTGTCGTGCATTGACTCGTATCAATCCACAGGGAAATGGAGGGATCTCCCAAATAGTATTGACAGGATTGACTCGCGCAGGCGTCCCAATGCTAGTTGGGCTGTCACTATGCTACTGTTCAACAGTGGTATTCTAATCTCATCCATTCTATAATATCCATTTTTATTATTCGAATCCTCGAATATATTTTCATTTAATTTTACGTCTATTTCATTATACGTTCCATCCATGTATCAGCATGTATAGTAAGTGATGCGCGCATTCTATTATAACCTCTTCTCAATCTCGTTTGTAAACAATGATAAGATTATTTTTGATTTACAAATACTGATCATTCAGTAAATAAATGTTACAAAGTGCATTTAATTACCTCAAAATATTATAAATAATTATATAAATAAAATTATATTACTTTATTTCTTCGCTTATTTTTTTTTAAGTGAAATTATTTAAATAATACATTTCATAAAATTTTGTTTGATAAATATTTGATTTTGTTAACAAATTTGTTATTAGCAAATATTTGTTGTTATTTAATTCTATATAGTTTTTTAAATATTTTTAGAAATATTTATTATTTACAATGTTTAATTTGATTTATTATTTATATTAACATTTAGATTTAGATATATCTCTTATTAAACTTTTATTGTTATTTTAATTATTATTTATCTTTTTTACTTATCATTTCTATTTTAAATAAACGATATCCAATTTTGATATAATTATAATATCGAATATATAATATTTGTATTTTAAATAAATGTTTTAATTAAGAAAATCTATATAAATATGTAATTTTTTTAGACTTATTACAATTTAAAAAAGCAAAATGCAAGAATTCATCTATTCGAAATAACGTTTCAACCATTGATTTTTTTCTTCAACCAGGTTGGTTAACCTCACTTCATTTTGAGAAACACTGCTACATATGATGCCATCTTGCCACTATAGTGCGATGTCGCTACAGGCTAAACGAAACTACTTTGTTCCGGAGAAACATAATGACGAGGGATGGAAAACTAATAGATTTTCAGGTAGAAATTCTTTGTCTGTTATACCGGAGATTTTCGATACCATAAAATGGAGGGTGGATAGGAATTTTTGTGAAGAAATGGAAATTTTGTAGGCAGTGGGTAAAAAGGAAGTTTTCCAAGCATCCCAACGTTTACAGCGACCAGCAGCTGTTCGCCCAGCTGAGCGTTCCCCCTCCAATGATCTCTCCTCACCGCCGAATCAATGAGTTATAAGGCCCCTCGTCAAATTTTTAATCTCGACGAAGAGGACTCTTCTTATAAACGCGTTTATAAAAATACGTGCTACATATTAAATTACGAAACATAGTTGTTACGTCAATTGATGTTGCAAAAGCTATTCGCACGCGTCCGGGTATGAATTCTGAGTGGCCAAAATGAAGGTCAGCGTAAAAATAAAAATTACTTAAAATACGTTTTGCGTTGTTTTTCGATTCCCGTAATTTAAAAACATTACCAGCATTTACTTATATTTCTGTGATCGAGTCTTATGACAAAGTTTTTTGATATTTATTATTGCATAAGTATATTTTTCATTCTGACATAATATCTATATTTTGTGTAATATAAATAATAACAGTTAAATCTAAATTATCATATACTATATATTCTATACGAATATTTTGAACTACTATCTACTTACGGAACCCTTCATTGATTTTCCACTTTCTGCATTTGAAATGATTTCTTAGTTTCTTATTAATATTTTTTTCCTGATTAACTCATTTATATCTATTAAAAATTATCGCTCTTAATTTAGTTTGATAAGTTAATCTACAAAGAAAAAAATTGACCAAGCATACAAACGATTATCTGTAAATAATAATAATTGTTTATAAATTTTATATAAACGATAAAAATGACGATAATTTTTTATCAAATGTTAGATTATAGAATTTTTTAAGTCTGGATTTCTCAGATAATAGATTTGCAAGATAGTTGAGAGTGAGATCGATGCAGAAGAGGCACCAGAGATTCCGCACGATTCTACGGTCCTGATATCGCTTTAAAAGCCCTCCCCACTGCTAAAGCCGCCCCACCATTGGCCCGTACCTCAGCTCTCGCCCCTCAGCAACGGCTTGACTGCCCAGCCAGCCAGCCAGCCAGTCGAAATCAGCTGACGACTATTACTGCGGGCAGTTGCTACCACGGCTCCTCAAACGCAACACTGTTCAGGCGAGTGGATCCTTTTCTCTTCATACTACACTTCTTCTTCCTTCTTCTTTCTTTCTCTATACAACACAAACTTGTTTCTCTTTACGCGTATTACAACTGTATCTGTCCGGTGTCGTTGAGGGGTCAACGATACCCCATGGCATCTCGCGCAACCCGATATACGCGACAACAATCGTCATTTGTTATAGTCGAAGATAAAACATTGCTCGGACGCCGCTAGACTTCTCTTTACACGGCTTGTCTGTTTGTTCGTTTATTCGTTCCTTTTCGCTTGATCTCTAAGTTTACGGTGTGTATACCGTGAGTGAGTGCAACGAAGGGGAAACGGTAACGAAGCAAGAAATAGAGTGAGAGGGATAGAGAGTGAGAGAGAGATAGAAAGAAATGAAGGAACATCGAGTGTGTAACGAAACGGGACGAAAAGAGGGATATTCGTTCGTGGGAGAAGGGACGATTCACTACTCTGCCAGAAGTACGAATGCGTGTGCGTGAGTGGTGTCGTCTCGCTGTGAATATGTATGTGTGTAGGTTTTCCGTTTAATTACTTTATTATTACATCGAAAGAAAATTACTCGAATCTGCACTGTCCACTTGTTTCCTATTACTCTCAAGGGAGCGGGAAAACGAGAGAAAATGGAGATGAGAGAAAGAAAAAACAAGAAAGCCTGAATTCGAGATCAAGGTCGTTGTCACAGAGGTAGTTCGACGCGCGTCTCCTTTGTATGTGTGTATGTATGCACGTATACGTGTCTCTCAATGCAGGTATGCGTCTATGAGCGTGTATACACGGAAACATCGCTTTTTCGGAGAATACTATACACGTAATCGGTCGGTGCCAAAGCGGTGGTGCGCGCTGTGACGTAGGGGATCAATTTTACCGACCGAGCAGCCACGAGCGCGTATAGAGGCGCGAGAGTTCGTGAAAGTGATTAGAAGAAGACAGAGAGCGGCCTTGTAACGCGGTCAGGATCGAAGTGCGAAGATGTAGAGCCGTGGTTTCGTGTGCGTCACGGCGATAGAGCACGAAAAGAGGAGGAAGGATGGGCGGCGAATGGGACTGAAAGACGCGGATATATTATGTACGTATAGTAGTCAGGAGAATTCGATCGAAACAATGCAGTGACAGCGAAATACACTTAGTAACCGACCGCTTGATCGACGCACGATTGTTAGGAAGTGCAAGGACAACCGAGACCAGTGGTTGTCACCGATGCCACGTTCATCTCTTTTTTTTCTTCCTCTTCTCTTCACTATAAGAACAACTAATTCTTTAGATGACCAGTTCTTGAATTCAGATTGTGTAACGTTCGCGAACGCGTGATCCAAGTTAATGTCTCTATTTTCGTACCGATACGTATCATCTTGCGAATCGAAACATAGACACGAAAAAACGACACCCAAACAGTTTCTTCCTTTCTGGCTTCTTCGATAGTTCTGGCGCGCGCAATTCCTCGAACGAGTTTGTTTACTTGGATGGCTAGGAAGTTCTGACGAGTGGGATTGCTGGCTAGAGAGATATGAGGAGGAGGAACATCACACTTATTCATTCTCTCGTTCTGCATTCAAACTGTTTGTCACTTTTTGTTGGCTGTCTTTATTTCACGATCGTTGTATTGACGACATCGTGACTAGCTCGGTAAGAATATCGCTTAATGGGAATGCCGTTTCGGTATAGAATTTTCGAGCTCTGATCTTGGCTATGATTGACGGATCAAGATAGATTCGCGGTTTACATTAATATTAGAATAGTGGAAGATAGTTATGAGATTGATATTTAATGGTAAGTTATGCGTTTCATGGATAAAATTTTATTTTTTGTTTCTTTTATATGATTTAAGTTTTAATTAATATGAATGATGAATCATATTATAATATTTTGGATCAACAAGAAATTCAAAATTACTAATATTTATCTTTGACATTTTATAAGTTATATAGTAGATGTTACAGCACTTGAATTACTAAACCATTTCCAAAATTAGAAACTTCGAGTAAACTGTGTATTTTACGTAATAGAAATCCTTGATATTGTCTAAATCGTTATTAAATTTAAACGATAGGTTATTTTTGACCTCCATTGAAATGAAGTTCATGACGAAGGCTTGATCGAAAATTCTCAAACTGTTTCTATTTCAAATTTCACGCCATTTTAAATTTCTTTCGACAATTCTTAATTTCTTTAATAAATTATCCAATAATTCTTCTGTTTTGACTAATCGATCGGGCAGTATTATTAGAAAGCTCGCAAATTCTGTTAAAGATTTCATAATCGACAAGTTTCCATTGGTTTTACGCTTTAGAGGATTGTTTGTTGTTCAATCTTCTAATCCTCTTACTAAAGTCTTCTTATTGTCTTTGTCCTGAACCTTTGTCGTGTGGAGATGATTCTTCAGAATATGTACACTTTTTTTAAATCTCTTTTCAAGTTTCTACATCTAATTTAACAATTACAGAATAATAATTTCCTCTCGGTTAAAGTCTAATTTCTCAATCTGATCAAAAATCTGTTTGGTTTAGTTTAATCTCTTATATTGGGATACAATACATATTTTTTTTCGTTCCAGCGGTTATGTTGCTCATTGGAACACATTGACCCCGTTTAATCGGCAATTTCATCGACAGATGCCAACAAGCTTGCTGGTTGTTATGCAAACTAAACTTGTTACATAATTTTTCGAGATAGAAACGGAAATGTTTTTTTTGGCGGACGCCGTCAGTATAATCGACCGAGTTCATTGAAAATTTCTTGGAAAGCGAGAGATGGATTCGATGCAAGAGGCCGTGATACAACGATCTTCCGTTATTAGAGAAGGTCTTTGCGCGATGATGATCGAAAGGGGAAGCGGGAGAGGAAAGAGGAGTTTCCACGATGAGCCAGAATCGTAAATTATGACGATTGTCTGGGTACCGTTAGAGTTGAATCGGTGATTAGTAGGCTCCACTCCCTATCCAAGAGTTTAGGCGATAATCTGAAACGTTTATTAGCACGGTTAAACATACGTTTCAGCGGGTCATTGAATTATTATTGTTGATTTCCTCAAGTGTTGTTCCTTAGGGCAGGTGTTACGAGTATGTTTTTTTATGTGTTTTAGATTTTTAAAAGTCGGGGAAAAATAATAAAATCAAAGTATTTAAGAGCGATAAAAATTTTAAACGAGCCAAAAAAGCCATAACTTGCATTATTTAAATTTGGATGGATTCAATTCATTGAAACTTTGTTCAAATTTTGATATTGATATTATCTTCTCATCAATTGCATCGGAATTGAATTGGTAATTAGGTCAGTCTCAATAGAATTTAAGCTTTGGTTCAATGAAAGACTTTAACCTATTATCTTCATTGACTTGTCTTTATTAAGGATTCATAGATCATCTCTATGAAGCTCTAAAACAGTTTTTTTCTTTCTAATTTAATTAGAGCTTGTTTAATTATTAATTAAAGATCTCGAGGTAAAAATAATTTAAAAAGTGTGAAAAAGAAATAATATAAATTTATCTACTTAGAAATTAAAATTTAACTATGTAACTTTTTTTTATCAATGAATCCCAAATGAAAAGAAAACAAAAACAATGTTCGAATTCATTGGCAAGAAGAGTTTTTCGATTGCCTTAAAAATCGTATTTAATCGTTTCTTGAATCACCAGTTCCACAATGAGTCACTGCATTTTGCGCTGCAACTCTAAACTCTACGAGCAACGATAATACACGAGCCGCGTTTTTACTACGACTGTAACAATTTATAATTAGTGGAAATATTTATTGTCATGATCTAACAATGATTCGTATTATGTACTTATGAGAAAAAAAAAAAAAACAATTATTTTAACGATAAACGGGGAAGAAAAGAAAAATAATGTTATGCAATTCCTGGCACGTTGTGCGTGTCTTCATTTACATATAATTATATAAAATTATACCAGATAATATTCTTCTCTTTTTGTTTTTTTTTAATAGATAATATTTTTCCTGTTAAATTCAAATTTTATCTTCAATGTCACTTCCCATCTTGGTATGCAAATAATAATGTCCATTTAATGCAAATTTTGTTTTCGCCAATTATCATATACCACGTGTCCACAATTGTATTAATAAGTGAGAGAGAACGAAAAGAAGCTTTTTAAGCTTAATAAACGTTTCTCCTCTCTTCGAGGCGATCTTTAACTTGGTTTGATTTTACCGATTTTTATCTCGCCACGGTGATGTGGATTTATTGACACGATTCATCAAGCCAATTAGCAACTTCCTTACTGGTACCAAGATTTTCGTGTTTAAATTACACAGCCATTTCAAGATCTTATCGTGCCACAAACAAATCGTTCGCTGATTTGATTCGAGCCTGTTGAATTATTAACGAAAATGATTACGAACACGATGTTGGACACGAGCACTTATGTAGCTCGTAATGGTACTCGTGGATGTGATATTCCTGGCACTAGATTCTGACTCTGCTTAACATGTGCAAGCAATCTTACGATATCGAGTCATTTGTGTCATTTTATGATTCCAGATTGATTGCAAAGCAGAATTTCTCTTCCCATGGAAATCGAGAATGATTTAATTTCGCACGATTTGAAAAACAAGGTTCTCAATTATTGGAAATTTGTTGTGTCGATGAGACAGGATTAAGCTTAATTTCTAAAGAAAGAAGTCTATTGTCGACAATGAGATTAGGCATTAAGAACGAGTCTTTGTCGAAGAAGTATGAATAAGAAAATTTAAGGGTTCTTTGTTCCATCGGCAAGAGGGTTGTTATTAATGTCAATAAATCCTTATTATCTTGGTTGAAATTGGCTCGAGGAATATTCTGCTTGATCTAGAGATCGAAAAATGAGAGGAGAGAAACGAAAAAAGGTAGTAGATATTCACCTTTATTAAGAAAAAGTGAGACAAACAAAAGTTAAAATTTTGGGTAGGGGGTGAATTATGAATGTGAGCCCAGAATTTTGGATATCTCGTTTCGTCGCGTAGAAATGAATATTCGTTATTTGAACTTTGATTAATGCGATTATTGATAAGGGTGTGAGGAGGTTGATCTTTGATCAAAATGTTAAAAGTCGCACGTTCGCGATACACGTGACAATTAATCTTAAACGTAATTCCAGGGAAAAAAATCTCTCTTCTCTATTTTTATTCGGTATCTGCAATCTCGGTCTGTTTATAAAAGAGTTTCCTCTCTACAATAGCGTACAATTCAATTCTATCAAATAAGGAAGTTTATTAAGTACAGGAAGAGAAATTCTTCTATTTTCTTCAACGTTATTTAGACTATTTTCACTACCACATCTCGTTGAAAAATCTTCAACTGTTATAATAAATTTAGATTATTATTATTATTATTATATATATATATACAGTATATCAGATTAACTTGTTTCGAATTGATAGAAACAATTCATAGAAACTTGTTTGAAATGAAAGAAAGTAAAGGCGGTAAAACAATTGATCGAAATCTCTATGAGTCAGATTAAAGTCAAAATTATCAATAAATCTACGCAATAATAGGGCAGATATTTTTTTTTTTTCTTCAAAATAATAATATTCCTATGTCATATATATATATATATATAACATAATACACATTGGTTGAAACGGTGTTTCGTCGTAATAATCACTGAGTTACAATTGTAGCGATGAAATCAGCGACTTTTCTGACGCAACGATAAGGCTCTACGGTAACCAGTGCGATTAGTCTGATTATGATTCACGAGAAACGCGAGCGGAGCTGGAGTTCGTTTGTTATTCGCACGATATCCAAGCAAAACAAGATAACGTGTATTTTACTCGAACGATTAATGAAAAAATGGTGGTAGGAAACAAAGAGGAAAACATAAATGAAAGAATAAATAACTATGGAAACTAACTAGCGATACATATCGTCATTCAGTTCCTCCCGATTAATTGTCAAGATACGTCCATTAAAATAAGTGTATTTCTACTAACTATGATATCAACTATATTTATTAACCGCATTATATAACTCAACTTTATATATATATATATATATATATATATATATTAACCATAGAGTTATCACAATCTGAGAAATTCGATCGAATTCCTAATTAATTAGCTCGATTAT